GAAAGAGTGGTTGCCTTAATACTTGTTCTAGGTAAAATATATTTTTATTCTATAGTTTTCTAGATTTTTATCAGTAAATATTATTTATACAGATACACAAATTAGATTGGGGTAAAAAAAAAAATCAGTTCTGTTTAACAGCTGGTTACCTAAAATGACCCCTAAAATCCTGTCATGTTGAATTTTTTTATTTATAATGCAATAATTTGCCCATCATGACCAGAAATTTGAACAGGCCACTCCACACCTTTTACTTGTTATATAGCTGCCTCAATGAATTTGTTTTAAAACAAAACAAAACTTGTTTTTCACATGAACCTCTTTGTTCTGTTAATATTGGAGGGAAGTAAATCTCTAACCTGTGCACTAATAAATTTATCTAAGCAAGTATCTTGTGCCTATTTTTATATTCATGATGTTATCGTGACCTTTGTGAATATTTCCAGTAAGTGTTTGAATAAGGCTGGTATGTTTTTGCAACGATGTCTGTCAAACAACCACTATGTAGGTCGTAGAGGTAGTGTATTTCCGAAAACTTTTTACCGACAAAGGTAAAATGATCAAAATAGATGTAGAGATAATTATTAAGACAGTGCAATACAAGTGTCAGTATGGTACTGTGCAAGGGGGAAGATTGGTTGTGCTCGTCTCTCTGGGGGCTTTTTTGGAGAAATTTTGAGGAAAAAATGCCCACGGTTTCATTGCTTTCGTTTGAGTCAGTGCTGTCTTTGTACAGGAATAAATTGTCATCATAACTTCTGTAACAGTCTTGACGCTGGTGAGGATGTGCCTGCAGAGCTCATCCCAAAGCAGCTGGAAGCTGGGAGTTGGCCAACTGATGACTAACCGTAAGATAATTGAGCGGTTGTGCTTAGTTCGAGATTTCTTTGTGGTATTGGTAAAATTGGATAGGACTGGGAATGTTGAATTTAGCAGTTAATAAGGCAAACTTGTCCATAAAGGCAAACCAAGAAAGTAAAATCTTCGCACAGGGAAAATGTTAAGTGGCTGTTCTGACCAAGATCTGTACAGCCAAAATGCTCAGTTTATACGTGCGGGTGTCTCTGCTGCTTCTCACAGTGGTGCCGTACCGCCGCTGGGAAGAGCACCAAATCCGAACGTCAATTAATTCAACAGAATGAACTAAATCTCTTCCAAAAATTCATCTGTCTTTGTTCTGCTTCTTTTTTCCTCTGTAGTGTGGAATGCAGACATTTTTTTAGGCAGTGCAGGGTTTGTTTAACGTAGCACTATGTGAGGTTTGATCAATACAAGCCTGATAAATAAAATTTAGAAGACAAAGGGAAATGAAGGATCTGCTGCCTATGAGGATGGATGGTTTTCTATATAAAAAAATATATCATTTTAAAAACCCCACCTCCTTTCAGACAGTTCTGCTTAATGTAGTTTTGAGAGAATAGTTTGGGTGTGGGGTTGGGTTTTTTTGGGGCAGGAAGGGGGTGAATGGGGATTTAAAGACTTATGTTGCCTAATGTTAAATTTGATCTGATGCCTTCACGCTGCTTGTATGCAACTTCTGAAAATAACCGTGACGTTCCTCCTCGTCCTGCAGCCGGTGGGGCAGCCTCTCCTGTCATGTACAGTAATTGGCTCCCAGTTTGTGTGGTGCCCTTTGCAGCCCCTTTTAGCTGCTCTGTCAAACGTGCAAAGTCCTCCTGCTGGTAGTAAAGCACTTACAAATGAGCAGTTTGGAATAAAAAGAGCATTTTTTTAGCACTTGTAACTGGGTTCTGAAGAACAAAATTACTTCTGGAATAAAGGTTTTTAAAAGGGAAATATATAGAAATGGTAAGTAATTCCAAAATGATTGTGTTTGTGTTGTAAAGAGTGATTGCTTTTGTTGGCTGCATTTGAATCCGTTTTGCTGCAAAGAGGGGGAAGAGGATTTTGATGCTCAAGAGTAAATAGTACTTGGAAAATGGCAAAGTTATGACACAAATAGCTAACAATATATAGCGGACTTTGTGGGTTGGGAAGAAAACGAGGGTTATTTTCCATACAAAATTGTATTTCCCATATCCATACTTTAGAGAGAACATGAGACTTGGGTCAGCCCGCGCCAGTTACTGTCAATTGGAAGTAAATTGAGCTGGACAACGTTAAAGTAACACAGAGTGGAACTCGGTTTAGAGAGTACGTGGGCATGAATACAGACTCAGCGGAGGTGCTCCATATGTAACAGCTCACTTTATAGTCCTTTTATGTAATCGTACAGAAAACGGAGAGGCAGCTTCACATCTGTTCAACGAAGTTATTTGGTAGTATTGCACAGAACTGTTAACTTCATGTAGTTACAAGGCTTTTTACTTCTTTGAGTCTGCTATTATATAATCTTCATGAATGTTTTTAACATTAGGTAAGTAAATTAATTTATGAACAAGATGTGGAGGCTCGTAGATGAGAAGGCATACAATATAATGCACACCAGCACCTGAAGTAGCTTGGGAGTAAGAGATGCCCTATCCTGTGGGAACGTAGGGATGTGGGAGTCTGTTCCCTTAGTAATTGTAATTCTGCATCAACAAGGCATTCAAAAGTGAAAAAAACAACTTTACTATTGGTCCTGTTCATTCAGTGGTCTGGAAAAATGCTATTTCGCTTCATAGTTCATCGTCTGAACAATTTTATGCGATTGGTTTAATCAGCATTTCTCTCTGCAGAGCTTTTCACTGGGGTTTTCCAGTAGTGCTCTTCACGTGCACCTCCAAGAATTTGGCCACGATGTAGATGCTGTGTGTTGGCTAGAATATCAACTGCTGGCAAGTTGACTTGTGTTCTGTCAGTGTTCCAGAACAGCAGGCTCCTGGTCATGGAAGGTGCTATCTTTTAAAAGTATGACTAAACCCTATTTTGTTTTTAATTTATTCCTCGGTGTTATATTGGAAAAGTGGAAAGCAAATCCTTTGAATGCTGGCGATAGAGTAGACAAAACCATTTCATTTAGAGCTCCCTTACAACCTCGTGTATTTAGTGCTGTAAACTTCAGCTGCATAGAAATGCTCTCAGAAAACACAATTAATTCTAATTTTATTCTTCCAGGCTCTTCCTTGGAATTTCTGATTTGAGCACAGCTAGCAATCTGGACCTGAGTTTAGGGAAAAGACCTGATGCCTGGACTGTATTTAGTGTGAGCAATTAAGCTGTACTACCCTTTGCAAGGCTTGTAAAAAAGAAAAAACAACCTCCTTCCCAACAGGTACCTTGACAGAAAGAGGCTTCTTGTCTCATTGCTCTGACTGCTGAGAGCTTTAGGTTAAAGGGTAAACTTAGGACAAGTAGGGCAGTGGTTTGTAGAATGGTACTTTTGAAACTGTTGGGTACTACAGCCAGCCTGCTTGAGTTGGTGCCTCCTGTGCATCTTATTTTTCTAACTGCATCTTCTGCTGAAGTGTCACAGGCAGCAGCATAGGCACCTCACTGAAACATCCCTGCTGCAGCCGTGGGTGGAATGGTCAGATAACAGATCTTGCAAAGTTGTGTTGGTAAGAACTGGAAGTTTCGAGGGAGAAGAGTTTAGACCTGAAGAGAAACCCCTGTATCTTCTACATTTACAGCAAATATTGTAGGACCTTTGACATCTATTGAAGCAAGACATGACTTTACTACCATAGTAATTTTATTAAAAAAAAAAAGCCCCACCAACCCAAAAACCATCCAACCACATGCAAAAAGACCCCCAAACCTTTGCACAAAGAGTTTTTTAATTCATTCTGAATGAAAAGTTCAGTCATTGAAAAATGCATGGGAAAGATCAACAAGAAACAGATATAA